GGGGGGGAAGGTGTTTGGCTGCCTGGGTACTAGGCCCCATAAGGCGAGTGAGGAGGGGGCAGGGGACACATGTAGCATAACTCACTTGGGCAGTGTGATTCACAGCTCTCCCCATGGTGCTCTGCATGGGGCCAAGCACCACCTGGAACAGGCTGCACTGCCTTCTAGCTCACACCCACCAGTCCAGCCCCAGCCAGTGCATACAGCTAACTGCTTTGGCTGATCCCAATGCACCTGCCATTCAGCTCCCCTGACCTCAAGCAGCAGCTGCTCCTCTTGTTCCTGCCGCACAGACCATGGAACGGGGTGGGCCACCCGGCCATGGCCCAACCAACTTATAGCACACTAATTTGTATAACCCACAAATGTGCAACTGTCATTCCAGTTAAAACTGTATAACTATTTTTTAACTGCACAGCTAGATAAATTAACGTGCTAAAAGTTGGTTGGGCCATGGCCTGGGTGGCCCACCCCATTCTGTAGGCTATGTCCTGCTGCACCACTACTGGAAGGAAGCTTCAGCCTGGTGGCTCCTGCCCCAGTACATGGAGACCTGACTCCAACTCCTGGCTGCCTTCCACCTACTCCACCCTCCTGGCATGGCGGATGAGTGTGCAGAAGGCAGCTAGGAGCTGGAGCCAGAGCCCGTACATGCACGCTGCGGCAGGATTCATCCAGCTGAAGCTCCCAGCTGCCTTCCACCCACTTGACTACCCGCACTAGGTGGGCAGAGTGGGTGGAAAGCAGCCAGGAGCTGCAGCCGGAGCCACCCAGCTGAAACTTCCTCCTGGCCTGGAGCAGCACAGTAGAAGCAGAAGGAAGCACCACCACTGAAGGCAAGGGGACCCAAGCAGCAGCCCCACTGGTAAGCTATGTGCAATGGAGCACAGTGCAGGGTGCCCTGGGTGGTGCTCGGCCCCATACAGAGCACTACAGGGGCAACCGCAGGCTGGATCCAATCAACTGGCAGGACTCCCTCCCCACTCTTTGCCTGTAGGCTGGATGCAATCAGTTGGTGGGCTGAATCTGGCCCATGAGCTGTATTTTGCCCATCCCAGTCTAACTACTGGTCTCTGGTGTGTGAACAGCAGGTGACTTGGGAATACACCCAAGTGCCCCTTTCAGTGCTACTCTCAGGCTTTACTAAGGTATAGCCTGAGTACAGCCCTCAGGTGCATAATCAAGACTGCTTCCATGCTGTCTCGTCTACCAGTCTCTGCTATGCATCAGGTGGAATGGAGAGGACTTATTTTGTCAGCAATAGCCCCTGGGTTAAAAGGGAATAATACAGACTTGGCCCAAAAAACACAAAGCGTTAAACAACCAAGCTCTGGCTGGAGGACAGAAAGGGACCTGAACACAAACTACCAAGGAAGGGAAAAACAAAGAGAGAGAGAGTATTACAAGCATCATACCAGAGTCATGTGAATGCCCATGACCTCCATGATGAAAAACAAATATTCCTATGAGATTTACAATGAATCCAAGTATAGACACAGGGAGAAGTCTTTCATGATGAACATCAGGAGGCTCCAATGCTCTCTAAAAAAGAAGCAAGTTTAGAACACCATTTATACTCTTATCACACTGTTAAAAGGAGGCAATATACTGTCCATTTTCTAACTGACTAGATGCAGAAGTATTGTGACATAAAAACAATCTTCCAAAAGATAAATTAGTAAATCAATAAGCTGTGGCTTACAAATGAACTTCGAAAGCTTTAAAAAAGTCTCAATCACAAAAGGTAAGAAGTATAGGGAAGAACAATAAAATATTATGTATATTTCTTCTGTAGTGATGAGTTAGGTCTGAAACGAATACATACTTCTTTATACTGTCTGCTCAATGTCATATAGATACTCTGAAAAAAATGCTGGTTTACATCCAGTGCTGACTTCACATGGTTTTCACTTCTCTCATGCTTAACTGGCTATGAACATGAACAAACTCACAATCCATTACAATAACTTAAACTAACCCTATTCTCTTAAATGTGCTGTACTATACAAAAGTAGTAAGTCTATAAAACAACCTTTATTTCTCAGAATAGACTGACTTACTGCAATTGATGTCCTAACATACCTCAACCCCTTCAGAGAAAATGAAGAATGCTGTGAAAATCAGGAACAGACCATTTACAAAACCAGCCAGTACTTCTGCTCGAACATATCTTGGAAGAATCAGACAAGCAGTATTAGATATTAATACTCCTATTTAGATACTGAAAACACAGAAGTACTTATCTAGTGTCAACATAATTGAGGCAAATAGTGCCAAACACTGACTTACGGTTTTCTCACTGCTGTTTCCTATTCATATGAAGAGTAAAAGAATTTCTACACAAGAAAATACTAAGTGAATAGACTTATTTGTATGTCAGCTTACCTTGCTTTTCTTGCTTCATATATTGGATCTATAAGACAGACACTTTTTTTCCCTAATAGTCCAAATCAGCGGCAGGCAAAATATGGCCTGCAGGCTGAATCCGGCACATGGAGGGACTTTATCCAGCCCACAGCAGGTCCCTTGGTCCTGCCTGGCTCAGGCACTGTCTGGCCCATGGTGCATCCTGCTGCCCCCTTGGGCACACAGCAGGGCTGGGGCAGCTCCACAGCTGGACTGCCTTTCTAAGCAGCCAAGGCAGCAGCTCCTTCTGGCTGCCACTGGTGCCAGCCCCATGGCACTGGTGGGGACCCATATGCACAGTCCCAACCCCAGCCCACCCTGCACCTTCTCCAGACTCACCTACCCATGCTGAGCAGCAGCAGCAGCAGCAATGGCCAGGCAGAAGTGGCTGTCGGGCATGGGGGAAAACCAGCCCCACCTTTGCTGCTGCTGAGACCTTCTTGCTGCAGCCACCCAGAGCCCTTGCCTGGGCTGCCTTGTGGCAGTGCAGAGGAGCCATCGCTGCCCTGCTGGGCAGCCTGGAGGTGGCAGTGACGGTGGTGGAGAGGAGCGGCAGGGCTGCCTGGGTGTAGGCTCTGGGCAGATCCAGCAAGAAGGCCCCGCAGCAGCGAAAGGATGACTGCTGTTGCCACTGCTACCACTGCTTAGTGTGGGCAGGCAAGCCTGGAGCAGGTGCAGGGCAGACTGGGTTGGGGCTGTGCATGTGGGTTCTGGCTGGTCTAGAACTGGTCCACTCCACTGGGCTGAGTCCAGAGCAGGCACAGGGTGGGGCTGTGTACACAGGTCCCTGCCAGTACCACGGGGCTGGGGCCAGAGCCACCACCACCACCTGGACTGCCTAGAGAAGGCAGCCCAGCTATGGAGCCACCCTAGCCCTGCTGCATGCCCAGGGGGCAGCAGGATGTGAAGGTTCTGTCTGGTCTAGACACCAAGGGACCTGCCATGAGCCGAGGCTGTAGCTGTGCACTGTTAGCTGTGGCTGCAAGGAGTCACAGGGTGCACAGAGTCCAGGCTGTTGTGGGGTGGTGAAAGTGCTGACCGGCCAGCAGCAGCTCTCCAGAACTGCCTATGTAGCCCATGGGCCCAAATAATTGCCTGCCCCAGTCTAAATCAATGACAGTCAGTTACACATAGCTAGAAGCCACATGAGTAGCTAGGTGTTAACCAAATAGTCATAACAAGATACATATCCCTAGGTAAACTGTGGCAAATTCACTGAAGTTCTAAAAAACAAACTATAATACTTGTTCCATTATTGGTAAAGTTGGGGAGCACATCTGTTGTGCTATTCCTGGTTGTAGGAAACATGTTCTCAGGGCATGAATTAAAAAAAAATCCCTCTGATAACAGAAGTTGAGATTTGAGTTTCACCTACAAAAGTCAGCCTTCGACAGAGTCTGCAGTGCCCAATGAAGACCAATGAAGAACCCAATTATGATGCAGGTAGATCTAGATCTGGCAAAGCAACACTTTTCAAAATATTAAGTTTTATATGGATTATTGTTTTCACAAGGGGGGAAGAAAGAGAAAGAACCAGATTAACTTTCACTTAATCACTGAAATGCTTGGCATTTTGAAAGTATCAGTAGGATTCCTAACATTTTAAAACAGAAAAACAAAACCAGATTGATTGAGTATATGACACGTATGTTAAGTATATATAGTCTAGTTTATGAAAAGCACTGATTACGAATGGAAAAGTGATTTCATTTGGACTGTTAGCCAACACGAATGAATGCTAGCAAACAAAACTAATAGTAACACACTGTTCCTGCAATCTATTCTCTGCATTGTTAGTTCAAAGAATAACTCACATTTTGTCCATAACTTCAACTCCCATCCACACGCAAATGCCTCCAGCTTCAATTTTATGGTATTTTACACACAAAGCAGAAGGCCCACAGCAAACAGTGGTGCTTGAAGGTTGAATGCTGCATACTTTCAAAAAAGTAATGCTTTGGGTAGGGCAGATAAAGCTATAGCTTCTAATAAGCGTTTACTCCAATATCTGCTAATCAAATCACTTTTTATATCCCAAGTTTACAGTGCAATTCCCTCATCTGAGTTAAACTAAGCTACCTTGAATGGAATAACACAAATGAACTAACTTGACCTAACTGCTATAGTAAGCAAGCCCATGCAGAATACATGGTTTCATTACATGATTTTTGTCTGTTAACAATAATGAAAACATTTTAGAAATGTCATGAACTTGCCTTCCAGAAACACAACACTATTTTTAAATACCACTTCTGTAACGTATAACATTTGGCTTGTTATGTCTAAATTACTTACCCATAAGAGAAAGCATCATTTGATCTCCACTTTGAAATAACTGAAGCTGCTAACCCAGCCAACAGAGCAGTACAATCAAAGAACATATGAAAAGAATCTGATATTAGACCTAAACTGGAAAGGAACAGAGAAATTCAGTTAGGTTCACAAAGCCTATATTAAGTTTGAATTTTAAGAAGCTTTCATATGCCCTCCCTCATGTTACAACTGCTCATTCCTGTCCCTTTGGCTAGGTACACACTACATAGTTCTGCTACCATAATACATCAATTAAGATTGTGAAGACATCATTATGCTGATAAAACTCATGTGGATCCAGGTATACAAGAGAAACATGCTTCTGTCTGCTTAATTTCTGTTCAAGGAGATGATACAGCTTCTCTTAAGGGAAAGGATCAATAGAGCTAGTAAAAAATGTTCTGACACTGAAGTTAGAAAATGCTTAAATCAACAAAATCAAGCCATTTTGCAGGGACGTATCAATACTTACTAGGGCTGTGAGAAGCTTCGGGTGGTGATTCAATTCAGAGGAGATTTGGCCTGATTCGGTGGCCGAATCTCCAAACGCAAATCAAATCAGGACCAATTTAAAGGTCCGAATCGATTCAAAGCTCTCCGAATCTTTGCCAAAGATGCAGAGAGCTTTGATGATTCAGACAGTCCCTGGTGGCTGCAGCAGGGAGCTACAGCCAGTCCAAGCTGGTAAGTACTTGGGGTGGGGGAAGGGGGGCC